CGGCGGCGGCGGTCCCTCCGGTGCAGTCCGGCTAGACTGCACACTGGTCCTCCTCTGTCTCGGAGCTTCTCAGCTCCGGCGCCGCGGGTCTTCTTTGGGGCCTTCTGCTGCTTTAGAAAGACTAGTGTGTCTGTGTGTGATCTGGGCGTGGTGTGGCACACGCCCTTAATCCCAGGGTTTGGGGACAGAGGCTTGTGGATCTCTGTGAGTTCAAGGCCAGCCAAGGCTACCTAGTGAGACGCTGTTTCTAAATAAATGGATTAAATGAAATTTAAAAAGACTGGGTGTCTGTTTATTGGTGTGGGGTCCGGGGACTTCAAAGTATTATGTCAGTTTTTAAACACACTGCTACCTGACCAAGGGAAATAGGATTTAAGTGTAATCATCATGGAGAAGCATAGATTGAAAAGGGTGGGCTTTTAAAAATTGCAGGGCACCCGGGCATGGTGGCACATGCCTTTAATTCCAGCACTGGGAGGTAGAGGCAGGAGGATCTCTCTGAGTTCGAGGCTAGCCTGGTCTATATTGTGAGTTCCAGGAAAGCCAGGGCAACACAGAGAAACCCTGTCTCCAAAAAACCAAACAAACAAAAATTGCAGGGCAGAGGAGGTTGTTGGAACAAACTGAGACAAGTAGATGCCTCAGTTCTGTTAGAAGTTAAGTTCTGGATGGCAAAGGAAGAGACTACTGCTCCAGCTGAAGGGTCTGAGCAAGGCAAAGTTTACTTTTGATTAAGAGGGTGCACTTGGAAGATGGAACACAGGACAGGAAGCAGTTGTGTTTTTTATCCTGACTCAGATGGGACTGTGTCTTTCCCCCATTCTCTGGTTTCAGACCTCACAGTCTTTGGTTTTGTTTTGTTTGTTTGTTTGTTTGTTTGTTTGTTTTTCAAGACAGGGTTTCTCCGTGTAGTTTTGGTGCCTGTCCTGGATCTCCAGTCTTATTCAACAGCTGGTCTTTAAAAAATAGGGGCCATTCCGTTCCCTTATGTTCTCATCCTCCAGGGATGGAGTGGAAAAACAGTGAAATAGATACCATGATAGAGGGAGACATCATGAGGATAGAGAGAAACCGGGTGCTAGGGAAGATCCCAGGAATCCCCAGGGATGACCCCAACTTGGACTACTAGAAATAATGGAGAGGGTACCTGAACTGACCTGGCTTGCCCCAGAGATCAGATCGGTGAATACCCTGTCATCACAGAGCCTTT